GGGTCTTGTTGGTGGAGGTCTCAGCATTGGTGGAGGTCCCGGTGTTGGTGGAGGTCTCGGCATTGGTGGAGGTCTCAATGTTGGTGGGGGTCTTGTTGGTGGAGGTCTCAGCATTGGTGGAGGTCCCGGTGTTGGTGGAGGTCTCGGCATTGGTGGAGGTCTTGGTGTTGGTGGAGGTCTCAACATTGGTGGGGGTCTTATTGGTGGAGGTCCTGGCATTGGTGGAGGTCTCGGCATTGGTGGAGGTCTCGGCATTGGTGGAGGTCTTGGTGTTGGTGGGGATCTTGGTGGTGAAGGTCTCGGTGTTGGTGGAGGTCTTAGTGTTGGGGGAGGTCTCAATGTTAGTGGAGGTCTTATTGGTGGGGGTCTTGGCACTGGTGGAGATCTTGGTGTTGGTGGAGGTCATGTGGAGGTCATGGCTCTGGCAGAGTGCTGATATACCGCGGCCGCCAGAATAGGCTAGCTGGTCTTCGAAGAGGACAGCCGGCGAGCCCTGGAGAAGCAGGGATGGCGTGACTGTCTCGTGGGCCTGGGCAGGTTGTCAGGGCATCCAGACCCCAGAGAAGCACTTCTTGCTTGAAAAGGGCCACAGAATGAAATGCTGCCAATGCTGCATGGTCCTCATGACTGTGGCCGTGGCTGAGTCCACTGGTGCAGCCAACGTGTCCATCCTTGTGGTTGAGGGTCACCGTGTCCGTCCATGTGGTTGAGGGTCACTGCCTCTGTCCATGTGGTTGGGGGTCACGGTGTCCATCCGTGTGGTTGAGGGTCACTGCCTCTGTCCATGTGGTTGGGGGTCACCGTGTCCATCAGTGTGGTTGAGGGTCACGGTGTTCATCTTTGTGGTTGGGGGTCACCGTGTCCATCAGTGTGGTTGAGGGTCATGGTGTTCATCTGTGTGGTTGGGGGTCACCGTGTTCGTCCGTATGGTTGGGGGTCACCATGTCCGTCTGTGTGGTTGGGGGTCACCGTGTCCATCCGTGTGGTTGAGGGTCACCATGTCCGTCCGTGTGGTTGAGGGTCACTGCCTCTGTCCATGTGGTTGGGGGTCACGGTGTCCGTCCGTGTGGTTGAAGGTCACTGCCTCTGTCCGTGTGGTTGGGGGTCACGGTGTGTGGTTGGGGGTCACCGTGTCCATCCGTGTGGTTGAGGGTCACTGCCTCTGTCCTTGTAATCTCTGAGGGTCTTTTTTAAATGACCCTCCACAGCCAGAGTGCTCCTTGGACGCAAAGATGACAAAGCTTCGTCACATACATTGGGCAGGTTGCTAGGAAGGGCTGTTCTTGGAGAGGGATCGCGTTTGGAAAGGCAGAGGGTCAGGAAAAGAGAGGACGACCCTCAGTGAGATGGGTTGGCAACAGTGACTGCAGCGGTGGGCCCCAGTGCCGGGTGTGAGGCTGGTGCAGGACAGGACGGGGTCTCGGGTGCTTTTCTTAGGGTCACAGTGAGTCTTGTTCTAGTTCTTTAGAAACTGGAAACCTTCAGATTTCCAGGACAAAGCAGTACAGTGAGAGACCCAGGCCCCTTCCGCCAGCCCCTAAAGGTCCTTTCTTCAGTAACTTGTGTAACATCAAAACCAGGACCTTGATGTTGGTTGGGGTGATTGGGGGCTTACTGGGTCCCTGGAAACTCCTGTGAGGCTGGTTGGTCCCAGCCTTGCCCCAGGGCCCTGGCCGGGGCCAGACTGTGTGGCAGTGAGTGGACAGTGCAGGGAGGGTGGCCGGGCTCGGCACCACATTGTCCATCTGTTCTGGGAGGTGGGTGGGCCTGGGTCACAGGCAGCACAGCCGATCTGGCCCCCAAAGCCCCTTGCTCCTGAATCACTCCGTGTTATCTGTGGGGTATCTGGCTTTCACTGCATTGCAGCGTGGCCACCCACCCAGGCTGTTAAGGGCCTCTGGGCTCAGTGAGCTGGGGCCGCACCTTCAGCCCTCTGTGGGCCTGCCCTGTGACAGGCACTCGTGAGTGGACCTGGGCAGTCCTTGGTTACCAGTGGAGTTGGCGGCATCCTGGCAACTTCCCCTGGGGTCTGTCTGACCCACCACAGGTCCTCATCCAACCCTCACCCTGGCCACCTCCCCAGGGACAGCCTGCCAAGACCCAGCTGTGTCCCAGGTCCCCACCACAGTCAGGTGCCAGCCCCTCATCCACCTCCCTCCCCTCGCCTAGAAAAAGCTGCCTGTCCTGCTGCTGGGCCACTCGGCAGACCTGCGGCCCGGGGAGTTCGTGGTGGCCATCGGCAGCCCGTTCGCCCTGCAGAACACGGTGACCGCCGGCATTGTCAGCACAGCACAACGGGATGGCCGTGAGCTGGGCCTGCGGGACTCGGACATGGACTACATCCAGACGGATGCCATCATCAGTGTGAGTGTCCCCGCCCACACGGCCACCGCTGCCTGGCTGCCCCCGGCTTCTGGGCCCTGCAGACTCTGCAGGGACAGGGCTGCACCTGTTCACCCGGCACCTAACCCGGCCCCCTGCTCTGAGCCTCCACTCTGTCTCCTGACCCAGCTTCCCCTGACCTTCCACACTCCACCCTGTCCTCTGACCCTGTGTCCTGTCCTCTGATCTTGTGTCCTGGTCCCTGACCCTCTTCTGTTCCTGCTTCTTGTCCCCTGACCTTCCTCCCTGTTCCCTGACCCTGCACCCTGACTCGACCTTCCTCTGTGTCCCTTGACCTTGCACCATGTCCTTTGGCCTGCTCCTTGTCCCCTGATCCTATGTCCTGTCCCCTGACTTTGTGCTCTGTCCTCTGACCCTGTGTCCTATCCTCTGACCTTGAACCTTGTCCAGTGACCCTGTCCCCTACCCTTGACTCTGTGTCCTGTCCCCTGATGCTGTTCTCTATCCCCTGACCCTATGTCCTGTCCTCTGACCCTGTGTTCTGTCCTCTGACACTGTCCCCTGTCCCTGACCCTGTGTTCTAGCCCCTACTCCTCTTCATCCTTTCCCTGTCTGTGACACAAAGTCCTTTGTCTGCACTGAGTGGAGACCCTGTCCCCATAACTCCTGGGGCTGCTCAGGCTTCCCAGATGCTGCCCAGTCTGTGGACAACCCAAAGCTGTAGAGCCGTGGCCACCACCAAGGGCTCTGAATGCACAGTGGTCAGCACCTACGGCCATGGCAATGACATTCATCATAAGAGGTGGGGTGGCCTCACCCCAGTGGCCCCACATGCAGACCTCAGCATTGCTGGTGGAACATTAGGACTGACCAGTGCACCTGGCACAGAGTGGCCACCGTCCCTGTTATTTTTGGCTGGTCTGAGTGTGCCCAGTCTCTGCCGAGTCCCACATTTAGCAGACATGTGGTTGATGTGTGTTTCTCTTGCAGTACGGGAACTCCGGGGGACCCCTAGTGAACCTGGTAAGTGCCAGAGGCTCTGCTCACCTGGACAGGACAGGGCTGGGGGCCAGCCTGTGGCCAGTGCTCACCTGGGCGGGACAGGGCTGGGGGCCAGCCTGTGGACAGCGAGACTCAGTGTGGCTGTGCCACAGAGGTGCGCACACAGCAGATGAGGGATCCAGGGACACAGGGTCACAGGACAGAGATGCAGGGTGCCCCTCGAGGCATCTGCATGTGCACCCCCACCCTTGTATACAAATTCTCATGACAGGAACTGTCCCATTCCCTTCCCCTTGGGCTTTTCCTGACCCCCAAATGCTCATGCCCCAGCCTGGCTTCCCAGCTGGTCCTGGGGTGCATCAGGGGGTCCTGATTGGATCTCTGGGATCCAGACCTTTCTGGGTCGGTCACAGGTCCTGCACTGGGCGCTTCCAGCAGTCAGAACGTTACACAGGGACCAGGACCACGTGGGGACCAGGACCACATCGGGAGGAGGGCACTCTGGAGGGATAAGGGCAGGGAGGATTCAGGGGGGACTTCCTGGAGGACAGTTGTGGGAGGGAGGAGAGTGGGCACATGGGGATGTGGAGAGGAAGAAGCCCAGGGAAAAGGTGTGGCCAGATTGGGGGTAGAGGACAGTAGGTGGGAGGAACAGAGGCCATCAGAGGGCTTTGGGGGAGAGCATGGGGTGGGCCTTCCCGGGGGTGTCAGAGGCATGGGGGAGTGCAGAAAGACCAGGAGGCAGCAAGAGCAGAGGTGGGAAAAGAGGCGGGGAGGGGGGCAGCCTGCAGGGTGTCCCTCAACCGGCTCCTCCCCCTTTCTGAGCTCCCTGACCGCTGAGGACTGGCCAGGTGGTGACCGGGCTGGGTGTGTGCTCAAGGAACAGGGGAATGAAGGGTGTCTCTTGACCCAAAGTCCCCCTGGGGCCCTGGTGAGCTGGTGGCCCCCACCCAGGGCCCCCCTCAGCCAGGCTGGGAGGGAATGCCGCCTCACCTTGTCCCACTCCCCCCCAGGAAGCCTGGCCTCAGCACTGGAAGGGGCCTGGGCAGAGCCCTCTGGCCTCCATGCCTCATGGCTGTGGGTGTAGGGCCAGTGAGATCCTCTGAGCCGCCCTGTCCCCACTTACTGCCCCACCAGCTTCTAGGAGGAGCAGCGACGGGTCCTACTTGCTCTTGAACCCCAGCCCCCGGGATTCTGGGGGCTGACCTTGGTCAATGGGCACAGCTTCTCAGGGCAGGGTGCCACAGCCAGGAGAGGCCCTGAGACATGTTCTGCGGGTCTGGAGGGAAAATGGCAGGAATGTTAGGGGATTACTAGCTGGGCATGAACTCAGAGAATCTTGTCTGGTTCGCTGGGGTGACCCCACAAGGCTCCCAGGTAGGGCATTCTGGGAGATTTCACAGAGTGAGGTGCTCTGCTCTGTGGGTGAGGATTCCCCAAGTGATCACCGATCTCCCTGCCCAGGACGGTGAGGTCATCGGCATCAACACACTCAAGGTCGCAGCTGGCATCTCCTTTGCCATCCCATCGGACCGCATCTCACGCTTCCTCACTGAGTTCCAGGACAAGCATGTCAAAGGTAAGATGCTCGCCTGGCAATGAGTGCCCCTGGGTCATGAGCTCACCTGGACGATGAACGCACCTGGGTCATGAGCACACCTGGATGATGAACGCACCTGGGTCTTGAGCTCACCTGGATGATGAGTGCACCTGGCCAGAGCTCACCTCGTCGAGCAAAGGGGCAGAGCTAAGACTCCAGCTGGGACCTGGGTACCCAGCTGGTTCCAGATGGCCCCACTGCCCACCCACATGCTGTTGAGAACTCACTCCCTTTAATGGTCAGGCCTTGGGGCTTCCCTCCTTTCTTCCTTCCACCCATCACCTACCAACCAATCTGTCCACCTCTATCCATCCTCTCCTCTGTTCATCCTTCCTTCCAGCCACTCACCACTCATCCATCCACCATCCGTCCACCACTACCTACCCATCCACTCATCATCCATCCACACATATATCTACCACCCATTCGTCCATTGTCCATCCACCCACTACCTGCACATCCCCTCATCATCCATCCACTCTTTCTTCTGTTCACCCATTTTCCCAACAACCCAACTATTCATCTGTCCATCATATATCTGTGCACCCCCACCCATTCACCCATCATCTGTCCACCCACATACCCACCCATCACCCATTCATTATTTATCCATCCGTCCATCCATCCATATACCTAGTCACCCGCCCATCCCTTCCCCATCTGCCTTTTCCTCTGTTATCCTTACAACTGTCTACCACCATTATCATTCCTCCTCATCCATCTGTCCATTTGCAATCCACTGTTCCTCTAATCACCTGTCCATCCATCATCTATGCGTCCACTCACCCGTCCACCCACCAGCACCCATCCCCCTGTCTATCCCTCCAGCTGTTCATCACCCACCCTTCCGTCTGCTCATCTCAGTGCTTCTAGCTGCGAGCTGCACAGACCACGGCACAATGCAAGGGGCGGGGCCTAAGCCTCTGATCCTTCGAAATAACCCTCATCTCAGCCTTCACAGCCTCACCCCTCCCCATCCTGACAGACAAGCCCTGTCCACCTCTAGCTGGCCATGAGCCCCAGTGAAGATCCTAAGAGGCCTTGACAGGGCAGGTGACCCTCCCACTGAGGGCTTTGACAGTCATGTTCTTAAAGTCCATGGTTGGACCAGTCTCCCAAGCAGGACCAAGCTGCCCTTGATCGCGAACTCCCCTGGCGAATTTGTCTTCCTCACCTCTGTTTTCAATTCCTTCTCTCCTCTAAGCAGATGTCTCCCTCTTACTGTTTCTCTCTCCCACATCCTCTTCCAAGGCCCAGATCTGTCCCAGCCCTGACCTGACTCCCAGTTCCTCCCTTGCCTCTGCCCAGCCCCTTGCCACAGTTCCTTGAGCCCAGGGGGCTTCCACAGACATTCCCCTTGTCTACACCCCAACATCCAGGCCCCTGGATCCCCGGGAACCAAGTCCAGGGCCACGAGAACTGGTGACGTGAAGAGCTGCTGTGAGGACCACTGCTCACATCACCAGTGTGTCTGGGTGATGCCGCGGGCCAGGCCGCCTGTCTTGCCTGGACCAGCTGAGGATCGGCTCCCTTTGCTGGGCTGTGGAGCTTGTCTCCTCACTTGAACCCTCTTCTCCCTGGCTGCGGGGAAGCTCAGCACTGGCCCCTGATGGCGTCTTGGTACTGGCAGGCTCTGTTTGCGCCCTCCCCCCACCTCGCTGTAATGGCTGAGCCTCATGTTTTGTGCTCAATGGGTCACTTTGACCTTGGCTGTCTTCCTGGACCGGGGTGAGGCCATGGTCAGTGTAAAGGCAGTCAGCGCCTGAAGTTCTGGTCTCTTTGGGGATGAGATGGGCAGCTTCCCCTCGTCTTGTGTTTCCTCCTCTCCCCTCTCCAGCCCCCTCTCTCACTTCCCCCTGGCCACCTGTCCCCCAGAGCTATGCTTCTTGGGAACACAGTCACCTCTCTGGGGTTGCAGAGATCTGGCCAAAAGTGTGGAAACCAAATCTGTCATCTAAGGATTCTTCCAAAGCTGCTGGTGATGGCTGCCTTTTTTTGGAAAAAATAAATAATATACCAAAGAAACAGATCCCATTACTCTAATGTCCTTTTACATGTATATGAGAACCACCAGCCCCACTGCCGGGCACTGGATTCCAACCCGTGAAGACCCTCCGTTGTGTTTCCGAAGCCACAGGTCTTCACTGCCGGAGAATATCCTTGGGTCGACTGGTGGGTTTGAACCACCAACCTTTTCTGTCTATAAAGTTCATGTACATTAGGAGTTCTGGTGGTGTCATCTGCAGAGAGGTCTGTGCTGCTAACCTGAGACCGAGCCTCGCTGGCAGTTCAAGTTCTCAAGTGAGAAAAGTGGGCCTTCCCCTCTCGCGTGATTTATAGCCGAGGAGACCTGGGAGGTGGAGGGGACACCATTCCCTCCATGTGATTTACAGCGAGGAGACCTGAGGGGGACACTGTCCCCTCCCACATGAGTTACAGCCCAGGAGACCCCAGTAGAGTCGGGGGCCACGGGTTGATCGCAGCTTGGCAATGAGTGTGCATGTGTGGCAGATACATTATGCAGAGTTGCATATATAAATATATATCATAGGTAAATATAAAATCTATAAGTATATATTTTTAAACTATCATTTATATCAAGGAGGCCTACTGATGGTGTTCTTCTTGTTCTGGTCTTGAGGTGAGGGTGGAAGAAAGACCAGGATGGACAGGAGATTGCTGAGATGGATAAGACGGGGGCTGGGCTGGGAGGAGGGGTGGGGTGGGAGAGGAGTGGGGCTGGAGTGGAGGGAGAGAGACTGGGGGAGAGGATCAGGCATGGGATGGCAGAAGAGAGTGCAGAATGGAGGAGGGAGGGGTTTGAGGTGGAAGAGGGAGAAGGGTGGGAGGAGAGGGTCAGGGGAGAGGGGCCAAGGTGATGGGACCAGAGTGGAGGTGGGAGAGGGAGTGGTGCATCAGCTGACAGCCCTGCAGTGTGAGGCTCAGACGCCAGGTTCTGTTCTAAGCATGGGGGCCATCAGGTATGTTGGCATTGACCGTGACGTTGCGAGAGTCCCTCTGGCTGCTGGGAACAAATTGAGAGGGACACGACTGGGCCCAGGAGACTGTGATTAGTTCACAGCCGCCACGCAGGCAGTCTAGGCCAAGTGGTGACAGCAGATTGTGACCAGGGCAATGTCCAGGAGTCACAGTGGGCATCAAACCAACAGGGTTTGCTAAGGTGAGCTATTGAATTTGATGGTGAGAGGAGTGGAGGACCGAGACCTGGACAGTGGGGGAGGCTGTGGTACCATTTACTGAATGGGGACCCTGAGGCACAGTCGCCACGGTGAGCATGAAGCTTAGTTAATTTTGATGCACAGAGCTGATGGGAGACCTTGTAACTCGATGGCACACCACCGCCGCTCACGCTCTAGGCAGCTGTAAGGACCTGCATTGTCAACCCAAGGACACAGGGTTCAGATCCGCCCGCTGCCCCACGGAGAAAGACGGACAGTCTGCTCCCATGTGGGTTACAGCCTCTGAGCAGCCACCGGAGGGTTGGCTGTACGTCGTTCCAACACCGTGGGACATCGCACCCCCACAGCGTACCCCTCCCTTCACCTGCAGGGGGCTGTGTGCGTGGGCCTCTCCCCTGGAGCTGTTACAGTTTACTGTGAACATCCGTGTACTGGCCGTGATGTGGCCGTAGGTTTTGTTGCTCTCGGGGGGACACCTGGGTGCCTGAGTCGCACGCCCAGCCCACGTTTCACTTCACAGGTTCCACGCACTGTGTGCAGACGCTCCGATGCCCACGTGTTGTACCAGCCCCGCACCGGCACCCTGTGCCCCTGGCACTTTGATGTCAGGGGCATGCATGGTCATAACACGCACGTGTTCTGGCTTCCACATGAACAAGCTCGTGGCACTGGCCACATTCGCTGAGGGGTGTGGCCACGCAGTCATCCACCATCTTAAATTTATTTCATATTCATTTTAAATTGTGATTGTAATGAAAGTTTACAGAAAGGCTGGTTCTCACCCACTCATGGTGGCGCAGCCCACCCCCACACTTTGCAGTGCGCCCCCTCTAACTGTTCTGCTCGTGGTTGCAAGCCGGGTCCTGCTCCAGGAGGTCTGGACGGAGCATGAGGCCCAAGGCCGCCCCGTTTCATTGTCGTCAAGGTGACCTGACCCCTACCTGACCTTCGGCGGGCGTCTGAGGCTGTAACCACATGGTGAGGGGTCCACCGGTCTCCGGTGGAGCTGCTGGTGGACTCAGGTCCCCAGAGGTGCTGCCTGTGAACAGCCCACTGCTGTCGGCGAGGCCTCGGGGACCTGGATCCTGTTAGCTGAGCAGAACCGTGTGGATCACAGAAAGCTGTGGTGGACACTGAGAAGAGTGGGAATCCCCAAACACCGTCCTCAGGTGAAACCCACGCCTAAACCAAGAAGCGGTGGTCTGAACAGAGCAAGGGGCCACTGCAGGCCTCAAACCAGGAAAGGTGTGCGTCCGGGTGGCGTCCTCTCTCCATACCTGTTCCATCTCTGCTGAGCAAATCATTCAAGAAGCCGGACTTTATGAAGAAGAATGTGGCGTCAGCATCAGAGGGAGACGCACCAACAGCCTGTGTAGCCCGTGTTATGCAGATGACACGACCTTGCTTGTGGGGAGTGATGAGGGCTTGAAGCACTTGCTGCAGAAAATTAACAGCTACAGCCTTCAATATGGATGCATCTCAACCTAAAACAAAAGTCCTCCCCACTGGGCCAACTGGCAACATCATTGCAGATAGAGAAAAGATTGAAGCTGTCAGTGATTCCACTTTACTTGGCTTCCCAATCAACACCCTTGATACCAGCAGTCAGGAGATCAGGAGACGTACCGCACGGGGGAAGTCTGCAGTCAGGGATCTCTGCAAAGTACTCGAGCCATAGCCTTTCTGATCACCTGCTATGCATTTGAGAGCTGGACAATGAAAGAGGACGACAGAAGAATTGATGCCTTTGAGCCGTGTTATTGGAGAAGAGCGCTGAAC